GTGCCCCCAGGGCTCCCACAAAACGGCGAACTAGAATGGAGTTCGCCGTTCTGGTGCCCCAGAGTACCGCCAGAACGGCGAACAATACTCTAGTTCGTCACTCTGGTGCCCCCAGGGCGCCCACAAAAGGGCGAACTAGAATCTATGCAGCCGCTCTGGTGCCCCAAGAGTACCGCCAGAACGGCAAACTAGAATCCAGTGCGTCACTCTGGTGCCCCCAGGGCGCCCACACAAGGGCGAACTAGGATCTACATCGCCGCTCTGGCGCCCCGAGAATACCCAAGAGTACCGCCAGAACGGCGAACTGGAATCTAGTGCGTCACTCTGGTGCCCCCAGGGCGCCTTCAAAACGGCGAACTAGAATCTAGTTCGCCGTTCCGCCGTCCGAACGGCGAACTAGAATCTAGTTCGTCATTCCGCTGCCCTCTGGGCGCCCAAAAAAGGCGAACTATATTCTATTTCGCCGCTCTGATGTCCCAGGGGTACCGCCAGAACGGCGAACTAGAATCTAGTTCGTCATTCTGGTACCCCCAGTGCGCTTTCAAAGCGGCGAACTAGAATCTAGTTCGCCGCTCTGGTGCCCCAGAGTACCGCCAGAACGGCGAATTAGACTCTAGTTCGTCATTCTGCTGCCCCCAGGGCGCCCACAAAGCGGCAAACTAGAATCTATTTCGCCGCTCTGGTGCCCCAAGAGTACCGCCAGAACGGCGAACTAGAATTTAGTTCGCCATTCTTTTGCTCCCAGTGCGAAATGGAATCTAGTTCTCTACTTCTTCATTCTGGTGCCCCCAGGGCGCCCACAAAAGGGCGAATTAGAATCTAGTTCGCTGTCCTGGTGCCCCAAGAGTACCGCCAGAACGGCGAACTAGAATCTAGGTCGTCATTCTGGTGCGTCGTCTTCGTCGTCGTCGTCTTCTCCCCTCTCCCTCCCAGAATGGCCGGCGGCGCCCTCGTCGTCGTCGACGCGGAGGAGCAGAAGGAGGAAGAGGAGGACGAGGAGACAGGAGGAGGGGGAGGATTTGATTTGACACGTCGCATCGCAAAGGCTAGGACCGGCAATATAGAGAGGAAATCACTAGCAGCCCTACCCCAAGAGGGAAAGGCACCAGCAACTAACTCCCCACCTCACCAGTCGAAACCGACCCACCGCCGTCCACAGCACAGGTGAAGTCCACAAGGGGCACAAGCTCATCAAGCAACACATCCCTACTATTGGGATGGATGCCCCTTCTAAGCCGAGAGAGGTTGCTACGCGTGTGGCTGGAGGAAGGCCCGCCCTTGCAGGCCTTCGCCAGCCCACCGAGCCTAACTCCCTCGGAGACACTGCCACAGTCCATGCAGCAGAAGAGGGTAACCCCGTCGGGGCTTCCCGTCAGGTGGATTTGGTGCCCCTGAGGCTCCTGCACAAGGGCACACAGCACAGGGTTGAAACCTAGACAGTCCGCAGCTGGCTGCGGAGGGTCCGAACGCACACGAGCAAGACAGCGCGTGCAAGCCCACAGACCTCGAATCCACCTGAATTCATGGCCTCGATCCCTACGCTGGGGCGCCTGCGCCCCTCCAACAGAGGGCGCAGTGGACGGACCCACAGGGGCCCCAGCAGAGTCGAGGGCAGGAGGAGGGGGGGCACCCCGAGGGGGAGGAGGAGGGGGAGGAGGCTGAGGAGGAGGAAAGGAAGAGGAGGAGGAGGAGGAGGAGGAGAAGGAGGAGGAGGAGGAGGAGGACAGAAGGCGAGCACCCGTTGGACTATTCGCTACAGGAGGGGGATGCCCCCCCCCGCGCGCCCGGCGATTGGGACGAGCCGCCCCCAGGATTGCATCGCGCCCTGGCCGGGCCCTCGGCGAATCCAGCCGTGGCGACGACGGCATGTCAGGAGCCCCGATCAGAGCGAGCACAGCCTGCCTCCGGTGGGCGGTGGGCCCTGGGACCTTCAAGACGCCCGCCATCTTCCGGCCTCCTCGTCATTCACCCCCTTCGTCCGCCTCCCTCCGAACCTCCAACGTCGATCAATTCCCAATTCTCGATCGATCCTCGATCCTCGGTCGGACCTCGATCCTCGACCCTCGACCGAGCTCCCATCCTTGATCCACCCTCGATCCTCGGTCTTCGATCGAACCTTGATCCTCGATCGAAATTCGACCTCCGTCGAACCTCGAAAGACCATGGATCCTTCACGGATCCTCGAGCCTCGATTCTCGATCCCCCGCCATCCTCGATCTTCGATCTAACCTCGATGATCGATCCTCCTCCGCCTTGTCCTCACCACCCCCTGTCATAACCCTCCTCACTCCTCCTCCTCGCCCCCTCCTCCTCTTCCTCCTCTTCCTCCTCCTCCTCCTCCTCCTCCTCCTCCCCCTCCTCCCGTTCATCTTCGTTCCCCCTTCGCCCCCCCCTCCTCCTCTTCCCACTCCGCATCGCCTTGTCCTCGCCACCCCTCTTCCTCATCATTATCCTCAATCCTCCGCCTCCTCATCGCCCCTCCTCCTCTTCGTCCTCCACCTTCTTCTCTCGTTCATCAGCTCCCCGCCTTCGCCTTCCCATCCTCCTATTCCTCCTCCTCCGCATCGTCATCCTTGTCATCCTCAGCGTCAAGTCTTTGCCAACTGCGGAAGCAAGTCTTTGTCAAGTGGTTGATTCGGTTTTGAGGCGGTTGAAACACCGCGGTCTGTCAGATGGAGGCCTCGAGGGCGGTGGAGGATCGTCGGGAGGAGGAG